TGACTGATAAACACAACACAAAAATGCCCATGCTCGCCAACAGCCATGGAAATGGACAAGACAAATGATAATCGGTTCTGGAGATGTTTTAAATGAGGAAAAGGTGGTCAGAAGACACTTTTCTTCCAATTGGAAAGCTGAATGCCATGCCTAAGTCCCTAGGCATAGCTCAAGATGTGAATGATTCCGATTCCAGATTGTATAAAAGATCAAAATAGCAACATGACACCAACAGAAATACTGGGCTTCCCTGTGAAAGGGATCAGTTAAGTCAATGTGTCCTTTCTGTCATTAAGAAATCATGAGGTGCTACTATCCTTATGTTCATATTGCTTGTGTACATGTGTGGTGTGGTTTATATTAAACACCTTCCAATCACTTTTGATTCTTCAGCGAGGGCCCTAAGCCAAACCACGGCACTGAGAGATGTGAGTGCAGGCAGACCCCTCAGTGTGAGCCTCTGTTGACTCCCGACAGCCACTGAAATCCTGTTTCGTCCAGATCACCTGATCCATGGCCAGTTACACTGGCCAGTTACATGGCCCAATTTACAAACACATTATGTTCCAGAAATCCATCTCAATGTAAATGAAGATATGTTTTCCCATATAAACAATGTTGGAAATGGTGATAGAGTTTTCACAAATGCCTCTATTTCCTAATATGGGTGGACAACAGGGCATAGAACATGCCCACTATATGGAGCATGATTTCAGCATGCAAATTCATTCTTTTTCAGGGGAGCTCCAGAGGTTAAAAAACAGGGCCCTCTATAACCCACTTTCTGCAATGAGACATATGAGGGGTGATGATAGCACTAACATTTGTATAACCAGCAGGCTTTTAGGATTTTTCTATTGACTGCTTAATTTAATCTTTAAAACAAAACTATTAAGGAAATACTGCTATTATTCCCACTTAACAGTGAAAGACATGCACAGGGAGGTCATGGGTTGTATCTGATTCTAGAATCCAGGGGCTAAACCAGGGGCTGGTAAACTATGGCCCACAGGCCAACCATGGTCTGCCACCTGGTTTTGTAAATAATGGTTTATTAGAACAGAACCATGTGCATTTCTTTACATCTTGTCGGTGGCTGCTTTTGTGCTATAAAGACAGAGTCGAGCCATTGTGACACAGACCCTATTGGCCTGCAAAATCTAAAATACTTATTAAGTGACCCTTTATAGAAAGTTTGCTGAGCAAGGGCTAAGCCATCCCCTGGCCCACCTCTAAGGGAAGGCAAACCCCTTTCTCTGTTCTCTGACTCTGGCCAACAGCCGTGCTCCGGGCAGTGGGGGCCCAGACAGGGCAGGAAGGAACAGAAATCTTGGATGTCCTCAGCAGCGAGGGGAGGTCCAGGGCAACTGCTGACCAGCACAAGGGGTTGTATGTTTATTTCTCAATAAGCTTCCTGCCTCAATCCCAAAAAGATTTCATGCAGAGCCCATAGGTACAGAACATAAGCTCTACGGACAGGAGGGACTGTTTACTTTATTTACTGCCGGAACATTATTATTGAACGTGTGAGCAAATACATACTTCATGTTTGTGAAGCGGGGACCACGTGTACTTGACTTGAAGACAAACGTGGTACAGGTTAAAGGCCCACAGGTGCACTGTATCCATGAATATGGAGGACAAGATTCTGGTCTTTTAGGCTGATGACCTGCTCTGGTGGGACAAAGCATTGCAGGCTAAGGTAATTCACAGCCAGCCCAGATTTCCTGTGGCTCCTAAGAGCTTCACTCATTGATCATTCTGTTTGTCAAGATTCTAGACGCAAGAATAGATTTGAGATTTTTTTCCATGTTATTATCAAAAGTTTGACTATGTAGTGGGAGAGTTGTAAATGCTCATTTGTTTTGATTTTTCGTTCACGAGATTGAATGGCTTTTGATTTCTGGGGAAGGATTTGAACACCGCATTTAGTTAACTCTTTCTAGAAAAACAGCTGGACGTGGAAAGACTTACCCTGTTAACTAGATGTACGATCCCACTGAGTCATGCTTGTTCCTAAAAGGACTAATGATCATGTTATGTTTCATCCAATCATGATTCACCACCAAATTTTAAATTTAAAAAAAAAGGCACTTGGCTGAATCAGACTGTTACCAGAGGGTGGGAAAGTATCTATGGAGAGTGGGTGGGGGAAAAGGATGGAAAATGATAGAAAGCAGGCCAGGATGGCAATCACATGGAGAGAAGGGCGCTGGGAGAGTCTGCAGAGACTGGGAAGCAGGGGTACTAGAGCTGCGGACTGAGAGGGAGGAAATGGGGTGGCGGTTAAAGGAGGTTCCCCAAATTGCACCCTGATGCCAACTGGTACCCCGTTTGGGAAAGGCGGTTGCCACCCAATGCTGCTCAGATGTGGACACGGCCTTTCTGCTCCGGCACATGGCTTCCTGACAGCCTGGGGAAGTACCGCGACTTTCATATTTACAGACCTCACCAAAACACCGTTATATGATTGAACCCCTGCCTAAATCAGGTCTGAATATTCCATTTAAAATGTAGGATGACACTGTCATAAAATTTTGAGCATCTTTTTGACACCATCATCTAGCGGCTTTCTGCCCAGTCTTTTGCAGTTGTGCTTTACAAATGCTCTAAGGAGCTAAAATACTCCAGTAAAATTTAGGAAAGCTCAGAGAGCTGACAGGTTTAAAAAAAAGTTGTGGTGTCGTTCATGCAGGTGCTCTGAACACAGAGCTCAGTAAGCTGGTCAGCAGAGGCTCAGCCCCACCACGAAACTGTGCTGAGGTCACCTCTCCCCAGTGTCACCTGCCCTGGGGCCAGCGCTCCACTGCGAAGTGCGTGGCCCCGCCAAGGGGGGGAACAGTATTAGCACAACACACGCAAGGCCTCTAACCAGCCTCTGGAGAGAGATGGGGCACTTCTGGCCCCAAGCCTTCTGACCTGTTTTTCTTTTTTTTTGAGTTTGAAACTCTGACCTTTATAAAAAGCTGGACTCACTGCCCAGAAAAACAGGAAGGTTACTCACCAGGAAGCCGTGGAAATGAACTATACAAAAGTGGGTCAATAATTCTCCATCAGCAAAGCTAAGTCTCAGTTCCAAGAGTGGCACCAGCATGATGCCCCAACACTGCCCCTCCCTCAGATGTGCTCTGTGCCGGCCGTTTTCGGCCACCGATGGCTGAGGCCCTACACTACGGCATGGAATGCAGTCAGGTCCCTTTCAGCTCTTCGGGTCTCTCCTCTGCCTGGGGCATCTGAGGAGTGCTGGCACTCAGTATCCCACCTCCCTCTCGGAGGACTCATCCCTCACGGAGCCGGCAGGACACTGGGGATGGGGCGCCTATCCACCAGCTGTGGGGAAGCAAGTGGAGGAAAAAATAAATATAAAAATAGCGATGACTGGCATAGATATCCGAGATTACCTAAAACCCCAACTTGCATCCTTGCGCCTGAATGCCTGTCTAAATATAAGGCCTCTTTAGAAAGAACTTCATTATTCATATACACAGATATATGTATATGTGTGTTTATATATGTACATATGTGTGTGTATATGTGTACATTATTGTCTTTCCTATTTTTTTCTCTTACAGTTTTTAAGAGCAGAGATTGCAAGGTAGCTGAATCCTACCTTTGTCTAAAGCAATAGATATATTTGACCTACAGAGAGTTCTAAGTTTTAATTAGCCACCAATATAAAAAAAAAAGCCAAAATAAGTCACATAACGATCTGGATTTTTTGTCTTCTTTTGAAGAACCAGAAGATCTGGCAGCACAGGACCCTCATTTGTGTGCGGCAATGATCAACTGGTGCTGAATAGCAGTGGCTGCCACCGTTCTATGGGGTCTATGTTACCAGCTAACCCCAGGCCCCACTGCTCCCTACTGTCTCATCAAAACTGAACTTGCTTATGTTATCTCTATTTATTTCATTTTTTTGCGCTCCTAAGGGCATGGAGGCTCACAGCCTGTGGTCTTAAGTGTTTGCTATCAACATCCATTTTAAACAAATATTAGTATAACACAAACACTCTCAACACTTTTATGTTTTACAACCACTGGAATTAATTCATTTGGGTCTGACCTACACGTTTCTTTGGAACAAAATTTTATTTGGGAGAAGAGAACGGCAGGAGAAAAACAAGACCATCAGGGCCCCATTAGAGCCAATATTTCAGGAACTGTTCTGTATCTATGCACACATACAGGAGTGTACATGTGTATTTCTTCAGGGTAGGGGAATTCTGGGGAATCCTAGTTAGCCTAAAGAAGATCCAAAAAAGAATTAACTACTTACATAGTCTGAAACAACTACTGTATGAATCCCTCAAACAGCCAAAATGCAGGTGATTAGAGAGAGAGAAAAAATTAAAAGTTGTGACCTAGAACATAGTGGGGATGCTTAGAGAAAACAATGGTCATTAGAGGCTGAGGTGTCTGGTTACACAGAAAAGTTTGGACAGAGGGCAGAAGGGAAAGAGAGAAGCAAAGAGGAGAGAGAGAGACACCAGAAAAGGAGGGAGAAAGAAGACAATGAATCTGAGACAGAAGGTGAACACAGACACCCAGTGAGGAGGAGAGAAAGAGCTGGCCTTTTCTGAAGATCTGGAGCAGACGTTAAGATGCTGGCATGACAGCTTAATCAGACCCAAACCACCTGCGGAGTTAAGGCCGTGCTGACGTCCTGCCATGTGGAGGAGCGCAGCCCTCCTTTCCGAGGAGAGCACTGCTCTCAGAGTCCTGCCTGGCTTCCTACCGTTGGGCAAACCAATTCCTCATGCAGACATCAAGGACACTTACTTCGGGGGCAGTTCCAATTTCCACTCGTTAAATGATAATAGAATGTCAGTGGCTTGCAAAGGATGGTGATTACTCAGTGTTTATGGTTTTAAATAAAGAAAAGGATTAACTTTTAAATTACTTTTTTGCCTTTCAGCAATGTGACCACAGAAATCTGGCCCCTTTCTGAAGTTAAACTTTCTAAAGGAAAAGTGATTCGATGACTTTCCTGGTATCCTCACCTCGAATTTCTGCCGGAGCTCCATGTTTCCTTCTTCATCCCCTTCTGGAATGGGCACATTGTAGTACTCCCCCTCTTCTTGGTTAAGCAGCTTGTACCTTTCAGAGACACGGGAGAGAAGGAGAGTCAGAAGCACTGTGTTTGCATCAGCCTGGGTTCAGCTCCTCTGCCCCTCTAGTCTGGTTTCTGATGCATCCTATGCGGAGACCGTAGCCCTGTGACTTCATATTCAACGGTCATGATAGACTCAAACCAGCAGGTTTTCTGAATCTCTAAATGCACTAATGTTTTAGACTATTAACCCTTGGTTGACATGGACATATTTAGCCTCAGGGGCTTCCTCACCATCCGCTGGCTGGCATCTTCATCAGCTCCGAAACTCCAAAGGAGAGGGACCCCATGAAGTCGTTCCTGGTGGTTCTATCCCAGTCCCAGATTTCTACAGACAGTCGTCGGTCTTTATCTGAAGGTTTTAATTTGCTACAAAAGAATGCACACATGCACAGGTCATCTTGATCATCTTGGGAGACACCACATGCTCATGATCTGAGCCTGAGACAAAAAAAAATGGTATATTCAATTCTCTTCCTGTGACTCTCCATTGCCAACAAAGTTACCAGCCCCCTGGCAACCAGAGCTCCAGACTAGGGGTTAGGAGCTATAACCAAAGGACCAAATTTGGCCCACCGGTTGTTTTTGTGAGTGAAGTTTTATTGGAACACAGCCATGGCCATTTGTTTACATATCGTCTATGGCTGGTTTGCGTCTACAACAGCAGAGTAATGTAGCTGCACAGAGACTACACATAAAATCTATTTACTATGTAGCCCTTTACACAGCAAAGCTTGCCAATGTCTACTCTAAGTGGTACACGCTACCTTTCTGGCGATCCAGATCAACCGGTTTCTGTGTCCTAGTCTGCAAAGAGGGCCACCTACGTATGCTCAGTGGCAGTCAGTGCTTTCTCAGCCCTACTTTTTATGACATTCCCTGTTCCCATTACCTCTTTCCTTCTTTCCCTTCTACTATCTCTACCCCCAAAATCCTGGCACTCCTTCATGCCCCACTTTAAATGCCACCTCTTCCAGGAAGTCTTCCCTGTTGAAAGGGAAGGGTGCTCTTCCCATTCAGTGGCAACAGCGCCCTCCATGTTACTCACATATTCTGTTTTAAAAGTTATTGAATTTTTATCTTACCCTCTCCTAACCCTCAAAAAAACCTAAGTCCAGCAAGAGGTGGGCCACAATTTATATATTTTTATATCATCATTAATGTAAGAGAATTTTTTGTGCACAGTAGGTATTGATAATAATTTGGGACCTGCATTATGTGACTCTTGGTAAACCAAGTTACCACCCATCAAACAGCAGTGATAAAAGCTACCTTTTAGCAGCAGTCTGAGAAAGTCTTGGGAGTTTATAACAAACCCACCTCATTATCTGTAATAATGAGATGGGCGCTTCTGTGGTGTGTAGGGAGGGAGCTCAACCGAGAAGAGAAGAGAAGAGAAAACTCACAACGTAAAGGACTCATTCCACTGGGGGTTCAGCGTGGAACGGATGGTTTTGGTTTTTTGTTTGCTTTCATTCTTGGGGTCAGGAATAAGTTTCAGCTTCACGTAAGGATCTGAAAGCCCGTTTGGATCCATAGGGATTAGATTTTTTGCATCTCGCACTGTGAAGACAAAAGAAAGATCAAATGCTACAAAAAGAGAATGGACCGGTGTTGTCCCGTGGTATCGTATCCTCTGACAAGGCTGAGCTGAATGAGAGTGACATCAAGACGGTTTAAAAGGAGGGGAGGGGAGGCCAAAAGTCTCTGATCTTCCACAAGAAAAGCAACGCACTGAATCTCTGCTACGGATAATGGGCATCACGGGGGCCACTGTGGTCAAGCCTTGGGGCTCTGCAGCAGTCTGGACTGGCAGCATCAGCGACTCCTGGGCACCTATTAGAAGTGCAGAAACGTGTGTCCCTCCCCAAACCTGCTGAAGCAGAATCTGTATGGTAGTGAGCTTCCCCGGTCCTGCTTCCAGCCCTTCTCCAGGGGAATTGGGGCACCTCCCCCTTGGCAGCAGGCTGGCGCAGTCCATGGCATTGCATTACATAAGCTCCTCGAAGGAGTCCTCTCTCTTCTTTCTAAAGGCCAATGATTTCCAACCTGTACATTGGAAATCACTTGGGAGGGCGTTTAAAAATCCCAGTGCTCACAACTGAATTAGAATCCCTGATGGGTGTGGCCCAAGTTTTTAAAGCTCCCCAGGCGACTACTGTGAAGCAGGGGAAAGAGCCACTGGTGCCAACAGTTGTAATGCAGAATACGCTCCACAGGGGCACCATGGCCTTGTGGTGAATTGTGCAGGTTGATGTACCCTCACCGCCCTGGATGTCACCTGGGCACTCATCAGACATGCAGAATCACAGGCCCCACCCCCAAAATTCTCTTTAATTCCCGAAGTCTCACTTTAACAAAACCCCAGGTGATTCCAATGCAAATTCTAGCTCAGGAAGTACTCATACAGAAATCCAAAATACTTAGGAGGAAAGGCCATTTCACCCACGGAGGGAGGCACTCTTGGAGCTGGACAGAGAATAAAGCAGCAGGAATGGCTAAAGGCACAGTATGTAAGTGAAACAGGCCATGATCTATCACTGTGACAAGAAGAGACAAAAGCCAGAGGCTGCCTTACCCAGCGTCTCCCTCGCCATCTTCCAATGGCTTCCTCCTATGGCTGAACTTTCCCCTCATCAGGGCCCCTAATTAGCCAGATACCAAGGGTGCACATAAAACCGGGACTGGGTTATCCCTGTGGCTCTCCTGGGTGACCCCCGGGCCACCAGCATGGGCACCACCAACTGAGTCAGAACTCTGAGGGCAGATCCAGTGGTCTGTGTTTACCAAGCCTCCAGAAGATTGGAGACCACCAGCTGAGTCCGATAGTTAGAATTTAGAAGAATTTTAGAAGAAGGTGCTCGAGTGGGCAGGGATAGAGTAAGGGGATGGAAGGTGCTGAAGAGCCTGGTCAGAGCAGAAGTCACAGGTGAGCACTGCCCCCCACCCCAGGTTGGCGACACAGGGCTGATGCCCACTGACCCACGGCCTTACATCCGCTTTGCCTGGAATTCTTAGCCCAGGCAGATGACAGACGGGACCATATTTAAATGGACTGAGCAGGGAATGGGCCGACTCTGACCTATGAACCACAGAGAAGCTGGCATTTGGTTCTCATACTCATTATGCCTTCCAAGGATTTTTTCCCCGTAATATCAAACTCCATCCAGTTGGAAGTGGATAAGCAAGTAAGCAAGCATGGGTTTTGCATCTCAGCAGACCGGCTTTCAAATCCTGCCTTCATCACATAATGCCAAGCACTGGGACACTTAAGTTCATGAGATTGTTTCGTCCTCTAGAAAAAAGAACAGGGGCGTATATCCAGTGGTACAGGGCTATGGGGAGAACTGAATGAAATAACGTCTATAAAGTGCCTTATACAGTTGGTGGCTTGGAAAATGGAGTAGAAAAATTCGTGATGTGACTGCTTACCATGCCCCAGGCACAGTGCTTTGGACTCATCCCCATGGCCCTCAATTTTAAAATCTTCAAGGAGGCAGGAAGTCTCCGAGGGACCTGGCCCCTGCAGGATTCCCTAAAGCTCACGCAGAAGGTTTTTAATGCAATGCACAAGGTCTAGTCTCCTAAAACAGCAATCCAAGTATCAGACGAGAAATTTGAGCATAAAAATGGAGGTCTCCCACAAGGAATGGGAAGAGACCAAAAGCTCTCTCTCCAATTAAGCCATGAAATGAGAATCAGATACTCCTTAAAAGGCAGAGAATGCCCCAGAATGTCTAACACCAAGGCTGCATCCCAGATAAACTAATGAGGAACCATCACGGCTGCCAAGAGCTCCTTCTGCCAGCTGCAGAATGATTGTGCGTCCGGGCCTTTTCGTTGTCAATTTATAGTCCTGACAGCTCGCACACACAGAATCATTTAAGACTGATCTCTTCTGAATGGTGATGAGTTAAAATCTTGATGGGATTTAAAGCTTTGTGCTTCCTATTGAGATACTATCATTTAAGTTGAAAATAAAAAGAGTTATCAATTCCAAATGTCATTGCAGTAGACAGTGGGTCCAAAGTCCAATTTCTTATTGCAGCGGAGGGGAGCCCACTGACGTGCAGTTCGTCTCATGCTGGACACCCGGATCAGGACTGGGAGCAGCCAGTGTGGGGGTTCCCTCTGGTCAGAATGTGGGCTCTGGGCCAGGCTGCCCGCGTGTGAATTCTGGCTCTGCCACGTCATGGTTGTGTGACCCCACGCGAGACAGTTAAGCGCTCAGCGCCTCAGTATCTTCACCTGAAAAAGCTTACCTCCCTGAGAGGATTATATAGCTTCACACCTGTAAAGTGCTTAGAACAGTGACAGGCACACAGAGGCCAGTGATGGTCGTCACGCTGTTGTTAATACAAGTTCCTGGCAGAGAACACACCCCCGGAGGCTTAGATGTTCAGAACTGGACTGACAGCTTATGAACTGCTGAGCAACGGCCATGACTAGTATGGTGTGGAAATTTTCTGATGTGGCTGCAGCTGGGGGTGCCAGCAGTGGCCGGGGTGAGAAGGCAGGGCCACAGAGCAGCACGGACAGGGAGAGGGACGCTAGCAAAGGGGAAAGAGTAGCAAGACACGTGGTGGGTGGAAGAGAAGGGCAAGAGGCAGAGAGAAAGGAGGGGAAAATGCAGTCATGATGTGGGGCGCGAGGGCAGTAAGGACGCGGCCCCCGCAGAGGTGCCGATGGCGGCTGCGCTCTCTGCCATGGCTCTGCCCTGGAAATGCCTGGGATGTTTTCGTTATATATTGATGTCTGGGTCCCACACCCCCCTCCTGGCACCAAATCCGATTGACGTGGTCTGGGCTGAGGTCCAGGCATTAGCACCTTTCAGGCTGCTCAGGAGAGAATTAGGTGAAGCCATTCCATGCACCTGGCAGTCATTCTCAAAGGGTGGTCCCCGGATCCCCATCAACTGGCATCATTTGAGGATTCGGTATATAATTCACATTTAAAAAATTTACTTTTTAACACTGAATGTTTAAAAAGGAGACATATCACTATGGTAAATGAAAAACCAAGACTGTCTGCCCTAAATAGAAAGCAACCATAAAAATAAATGCAGTGAAAATCAAAGCATTCCTTATTTCCAGCTGATACAGTTGCCTGAGGCCTGCTCTCCGTTACAAAGGGAGGAATTAACAAGTATTAGAGTGTTAAGGATATTCCAGCCTTAGATTCGAGTCTTGCTCTACCTACATTCAAGAATCAAGGAAAAGTGAAAGGGGAAATAACTTTCTCACCATGTAATGTAAGGCTTTTTAATGGTAGGTGAGTGCCCTCAGAAATCATGTCAAGTACGACCAAAAGTGATGGCCCCTCAGTGCCCCTGCCCCACTCCTGGGAGGCGTGCTGGAGGGATGCCAGTTCTGGGGCTTTAAGGATGTGGAATATTTCCCAGCCTATGAGTACGCGTAGGTCCAAGAACCTACTGACCCAGCAGAGGTCGCATGGCTCAGCTCTTTCTCTCATCTTCTGCAAGAGCTGAACTGTTTCGACACACAGACTTCAGGGGGGAAAAAACATGCTGCTTTGAGAAATTATATTGAGAATGAGGCTTTTTTGGGGGTAAAGTTCTATCATGCCAACTCAAGTTCTGAAAGGCAGATGGTCTCTAAACAGTGGTGCAGAAGCACGCATCCCTTGCTCACCTGGCTGTACCGGCCACACTCCCAGGGCCTGCCCCACGGGCTCAGAGCCGCTGGTGCAATGCACACTACAGGTAGGAACGCTCCCCTCTCATCTCATTAGGGGTCTGCAGACTCTGTGAGGAGGACATACCTGCTGAAGAAATACAACTGTGCCATGGTTTGGGCCCTTTCAGAATAAAAAGCTGTTGTGCAATTCTAGAACTTTCATAGCAATGTAGAATACTCATGGTATTTACCTTCTTTTGGTTTGAGGTGCCTGCTTTGAAATCATCAGCTGTCATGCCTGATGACACTGCGAAAACCCAGCCTGGGTTGAAAGGTTGTATCATTTCCTGATAATGTAAGATATTCCTGGACAAAATCCATTCAAATAAGATTATGAAGACTGAAAAATACTTCCATGGTGCCCCAGAGATACCTGATATAGGTGGGTAGGCAAGGCCAGGACATGCGGGTTTTGAATAAGTGTTCAGGCATACGGGCAGTCTCATCAGGAGCTCAGAGGCAGCCTTAGCCAGACTGGAGAATCTACATCAAAGGGCCCCAGGGTGGGTAGAGGAGCCAGCACTTGGGAACAAAGCCAGGGGTTTTGCCAAGGGCCTGCCTGCTGGGGTGGAAGTAGAGATGCGAATGCAGGCAGGTAGAAGTGACCACCATACTTTCTTTGGAAGAGAAAAGCCATATCCATGAGACTTGCAGTCAGGGAACTGTCTACTGTGTACCCAAGGGTGCTCAGTGACAGGCTCTGTATAGTGGCCATGGCTGGTGGCTGACTCCTCAGGGGGCAGTGACTTAGTGGGCAGGTGGGTTCAAGTCCTTGCTCTGCTGATTATTAGGTGCATGACTTTGGACAAGTTATCTGGCTTCTCAGTGTGTTCATCTACAAAATAGCAATGATAATAGTGCCTATAT